CAGAGCGGCAGGTGTTAGGTGAAATGCAGATGCCCAAGCCTGAGACTGTGTAGTATTTGCTGCCAGAAACCTGCTGCAGCCAGCACCGTGCACCACTCTCGCGTGTGCTGCCAAGCAGCACCTCTGCCAAGGGGCCAGTGGAGTCCTTTCGCTGAACGTAGACGAGCAGTGGGACCTTTCAGAGCTTGGCATCAGTTAGAAGCAAGGCAGGCTACTCCCCACGCGACTGCCCCCGTATGAACAGGACTCACCGGCTCTGGGGTCCTTCGCGTTCCTTGTGTCCAGGGCTGTGGGGTCCCTGACCCACAGTTTGAGAACCGCTGGCCTAGGGAGATGGTGGAATCTCCATCCCTGGAGATATTTAAGAGCGGGTTAGACCAATACCTGCCAGGGATGGTCTAGATACTACTTAATCCTGCCATGAGTGCAGGGGACTGGAGTAGGTGCCTTTTACCATCCCTGTGAGGGCCCCAACTTAAAGGGCCCAATGGCCAGAAAGGGTCCAGCACCCACCTCTGAGCACCAAACCCTTCTGAAGGATTGCTTGTGAAAGTCTTAGGGCTAGCTCCACACATGCCCTTAGATGTCTAACTGCCACTCTTGGCCCCTAAATTGGGGATTTAGACACCGTTGAGAACCTCAAAATCCTTGCACAGCTGCTGCCTAGCCTGGGGGTGCCCACATTTAGGCTGACAAGGGGCACTAGGTGCCTACATTTTCATCACGGGCATATGCAGAACCACTAAGCTGCTCAGAACCCTTGTTCACTGCCGGTGGGATTCTCAAACCAGGCATTTCTCAGCCTCGCTCTTCTACAGGGCCTGGTAGGTATGTTCAGAGCATGTTTCCTGCGCTGGCACTGCACAAAAGACAGTCAGGAATGTAGGTCTTTAGGGCCCACAGTACCTAACAGCCCAGGGTCAGGGTGGGACAGGAAACCCAGGTTTGAATCCCCGCTCTGCTTGATGTGGAGCAGGGACATGAGCTTGGGTTCCCTATATCCCAGTTGAGTGCCCTGCTCCCCAGGCTGTTGGGGGGGAGGGCTCTTGTTGAAGTGGTTCCACTTTGTATAAATACTCAGTGTGCTAGGGAAGAGGGCGATTGCCTGCTGAGCAGGGCACTCTGCGGGGATAGGGGAGACCCAAGGTCCTGCTCCACATCAGGCCGAGTGAGGAGCTGAAAATGCACAGCCCCGGTGAGCGTCCTGACCGCCAGGCTACGGGCTGAACGCAGGACGGGGGCATGCTCTAGTTGTCTGACCTGGCTCCTATCGGAAGGAGCAGCAGGGTTCACAGTTGTGAATCCCAAGCAGAGGGAGGTGCCTAACTCCCTTTGAGGTGCCTAAATCACCCCTCACCTTGGCATTTCCTCTTGGCTAGTTTAGGCAGATCCCCACTCTGGTTTCCAGCAGATTTCAGGGGCTTGACACTATCCCACCGCGTATAATTCAATACCAATGTGGCCAGACAGAGAAGGGCACTTGCCCCAGGTTAGGGCACTTGCCTGGGATGCAGAGAGTCCCTGGTCCAATTGACATCAATTATAAATCCATACCCGTGGGAGCTCAGCTTGGCCCCGGGCTCTGTGCCCTGCTTGCACAGGGAGACACATGCTGGCCCTGGGAGAAGGCAGCCAAGGGCAGATTCAGAGACGGTGAGCAGCCCCGAGGGAGTGAGGAGAGCCACAATGTCGCGGGACGGCCCCTGGCGCTCAGGGGAGGATGGCCGCATGCCTGGATGGCCACCAGCCACCTGCTCAGAGGAGGGGCCATGTCTGGAGGTGGTGGGGGGTACACTCACATGATTGACAAGTCAAAGCCCTGGAAGAAGAGCTAGGGTGACCAGCAGGATGTGAGATGCTGCCCCTGGGAGCGCTGGGAGAGGGGAGAAGTCATTTTGGAGGAGCTGGAGCCAGCCACTGTAAGGGCAGGACTGGTGTGGGGGGGCTGGTGAGTCCCAGGCCTGCATGCAGGGCCCCCCTGAGACCTGGCCTCCATGTGCCTGGCAGCAACATCCCTCAGCTTGGTGCTGTCACTCCTCAGGAGAGAACCCAGCGTACAGGGTTTTGTGGGAAAAATTCCCTCCCCAGCCGGGCAGCGTGAACCCTACAGCTCCCAGCTAGACCAGGCTCCACGTGGCCAGTGCTGCTTTAGTGCTCACTCAGGGCTGTCTGCCTGCCTGCTGGGAGCGTGGCTGAGCGCTGGGGCAGGAGATCAGGAGTTGGGTTTTTAGTAGAGTTGTCATAATCTGCACCCCTGAGCCCTGCACCCCTTTGTGGAGCGGGGAGATCCTGGCACCAGAAGTAGCCTGACTCCTGCAGGAAGAGGACGCCTGCCAGCAGCGATTGTCAGCCCCTGAGCAGTGCTGAGGAGTCCAGGTCGATCGCTGAACGTGAGGATCATTTACAGAGTTGAGACCCCATCGCAGAATATCCTGGAGCCCAGTGGTTGGAGCACTTCTGCAATAGGGGAGACCTGCCTTCCAGTCCCTGATCCCTCACAGGTAGAGCAGGGATTTAGGTCTGCCACAGTCCAGATGAGTGCCCTGACCATAGGGTTAGTGGGTATGATTGGACAGACGGACACAGAGCCCCGAAGTGCCTGTTGTACAGGTTAGGTGTGCTGACAAGGCTTCATGGATTGGACCCTACAGCTGGGATAGGCTGGGGAACGCCTAGTCTGAGAATCCCACCAGGGCTTAGGCCTGAACTAGGACCTAAGGAGCTCCGTGGCATCAAAATTTGAGCAGTTTTGTGCAAGCTCCCCCCCCCAGAAACAGAAGTGCCTACAGGGGCTGGCAGCAGCTGAGCCGAGGGTAGGTCAGGGCCTCATTAAGCAGCAAAGTCCCTCTGTGGATCTAACCCTGGCCCACGGGAGGCAACTGCCAGATAATAACGTTCCCTCTCTTCCCAGCATGCTCGGCTAGTTCTTCTGCTGAAGGCAGTTCCATGTTTGCACTGGGATTTATGTTTGGTTCCTGAATGACTGGATTTCTGCCTGCGCTTCCATGTGTCACCCTTTTGCTATACTATGTCTACACTGCAAAGAAACCCCCCCAGCTCAGAGTCCCAGAGCCTGGATCAATTGACTTGGGTTCGTGGTGCTCAGACTGCGGGGCTAAAAACATCAGCGTAAGTGGGTGCCAGTTGAGTTGGAGCCTGAGCTACGAGACCCTCTTCCCTTGCCACGTTTCAGAGCCAGAGTGGGAACGTCTGCACTGTTATTTTTAACCCAGTTGCCCCAGGCCCTGACCCTCTATGCCGCGGATTGTTCTTTACAGTGTAGATGTACCTAACAGAAGTCTCTCTTGCTTTCCCAGCACAGGAGTAGGGATGTATCTGCTTACAAGTGGATGGCTTTTTGAGAGACTAATTCTCCCGGAGCAGCACTGAGGGCAGTTGGAGAGGACTTTATCCCTTTTCTTTACACAATCAAGGAACAAGGGCCTATCGCTTTGCTCTTATAAAACTGCTAAAGTGAGGCAGGGGGAAGAATCAGAACCAACAAGGAGCTTGTCCTGCTCTGCCTTACTCATTAAGAACGAATGTTACACCCAGCTGGTTAGACTAAGACATTAGCAGCAAGGATCTGTCTTTTTAGAGTGAGTGATGCACCCAGCACTACTGGAGATGGTGGGTGGATTGATAAAAGACGATTTAATAGGCTATTGGTCATGAAGACAACTTACCAGTTTTTCATTCTTTTTTGGAAGGCTGAGAATTAGATGGGTGTTACATTGTTAAGATATAGAAGCCCTGTACTTAAGTACTTAGCTAGCACAGACTGGCGTATTGGATTTAATGGGGCTCTTCCCTCCCCCACCACCACTCTCCTCTTCCCCTTGCATCTCTCTTTCTACCACAATGTCCCCTAGACATGGGCGTAGTTTGGGGGGGACATGGGAATGTTGCACTCCAAACTGCAAGCTTGGGGCAGGTGCGGAATTTATCCCTCATGCATGGCCCCGTTGGCCTGGCTGGAATTGACCCCCCGCCCCAAATATATGTCAATCTACACCTATGCTCCTAAAGACACTTTAAGAAAGAGGAGGAATACGTTAGTCAGCTGTTTCTGGACATACAGAGGCTGTAGGAGAGAGAGAGAGAGAGAGAGAATCCTTTTTCCCCCCTCCCCCTCACAGGGATGTTTGGCACTTGAATAGAACAGTGATAAGCATGGTGTAACAACCCAGACAGAGTGTCCTTACAAACATTATCAAAGTTACTCTTAAAACAACTGTCAGTGGCCTGGAGATGTAGATTAAGATATTTCAAAGGATAGGAATCTAGTTCACTTTGCAGAGGCCGGATGAGATTATCATCTCACTCAAAGTTTCTGAACTACAAACTATCATACAAGGTTTTAAAATTATAAACCGGTACCATTATGAAAGATGCTGCTTCCTTCTAGTGTAAAAAGAGTGGTTCTGGAAACAGCAAAGCACAGAAGAAAACTTAGTTTGTGTTTATCAGAAAAATCTAGAAGCGGGATTCCTGGACTAAACTAAACGAGTCTTTTTTTCAGTGCAAATGGCAGCGTTCTAGTGTCTAGCCCTACTCTGTATTAGGACCTCAGAGAGCCAAGAGCATTGACACAACCCTTTGTCTTGTTCCCAAAAACAAAATATTGCTTGCAATACCTGTTTGATAGCTAATCACTATCCATTTATTGGTACCTACTGTGTTAAACTGTCCAGAATGAGAAAGAATCCAGCCACAGGAACTGGCAAGTTCTCAGCTCAGTTGCTGAGTATGTTAATCAATGTTGCAAACGAATGACGATCGAGGCGTCTGAAAGGCCAGAAGTGGGGCTCAAACCTGAGGACTGTCGTTCGTTTGAGAACCAGCTGGTGCTGAGAAAGAACTGCTGATCTCGACAAGGCAAGGGCCAGAAGCTCTAGCACATCGCACAGAAGGAAGCCAGTCTCTGCAGCTCCTGGGGCCCAGCGGCCTTGGGAACATTTCCCTCCACTCCCAGGACAAAGAGGAGCTCCACTACAACACAGGTTTAGCACCATTTTAATAATAAAAGGAATAATGGAAGAGGAGCAGAGGCAGTGGGTAAGAGACAGAGGCCCCAGTTATGCCTCACAAAACAGTCATGGGCCAGAATACACCATCTTCTCTGCTCCATCGCCCTGGATAAAGCTGCTGCCAATGATTAGAGTCCGTGGTGGCTGGGTTTTAGAGAACTACTCATCTTCCCAGTTCATTTTGCCTCCATAATGCCTCCCACTTTAAACTGAGAGCATCAAAAGGTGGGGTCTGCCAGCAAAGCCCGTCACTGTTCCACTCCGCTGCCTCTGGTCACAGGGAGTCAGGTCAAAATTCTTTAAATCTGCGAGAACAAGAACCACGATTAGAGCACAGCCCACGGAGGGTGGCCAGGCAGGCACCTGCCAAGGAACAGTTTATTTTCATGAGTTTAATTACATTCAATACGCTTCCGCAGCACTTTTAAGCCTTAATAGCCACCGCTTCCCAGGTGCTCAGATCCAGTCAGGGACAGATGGAACTTTGCTCCGATGGAGATTGTTCAAGAACTGCAGTGTGCCAGAATCCAAAGCCAAGTCACTAGGACTTACATCCTGCCCCTTTGCATGGCCCTCACCCAGCTCACCTCACCTGCCGAGTTTTAGAGCCACGGAGCCTGGTGCAAGGGAAAGAGCCGAAGGAGAAACGGGAGCAAGCAGGTGAGAAGGCAGCAGAGATACCACCCCCATTTTGGTTCCTGCTAACGCAAGAGCCTAGTGCGTGCCCCAGAGAGCAGCTCACAGCTGTTAATTTGATTCTCAATTGTGAGAGTCTAAGAAACAACCCAAGAGGGACACGCAAGGACCACCCAGGGGCTGAGGTGGCTGCAGCACCTTCCAGAGGCTGGGGGTCCCAACATAAGGAGACACCAGCACTGCAGTGACTATGCAGACAGCGAGGCAGCCCTCAGTGACCACATGGGCCTCAGCTTTAGACATTAGAACCTTCTGCTGAGAGGGAATTTGGGGACAGAACTGACTGTTCCCACTTCCTACTCAGCCACCAAAGGCTGGCGGACGGGATGTTACTGTCAGGCCAGATCCAGAGGAGGAGAGGCTGGCTTTTGTTGGTCCCATTCTTAGGCGCCTCCCCCCACCCCATTCATTGCATAGGGAAACTAGCACCTAACTCAGGCTTTGTGGATCCTGTTTTTGTTCCAGGGTTTCTAGGTCCCTGAGGATGAGCCAGAATCACACTGCAGAGACTTGAACCCACAGCTTTCTGGCCCAGTTCTCCCAGCCTCACAAGCCCCAAAGAAAGGGAACCTTGTCTCAAAATGCAGCAAGAGGCACCCTGGCTATAGCCCTACTTTTCCAGGCTGCTAGTGGACTCTCTCAAGAAGGCAGAACCAGCCAGATATAAATTGAGGTCCAGCTGCCATTAGCTGGCTGAGCCCACCATATTCCCTTCCCAAGGGATCAGACTGGACCAAAGGGCTCTAAACAGAGCCTGAAGCATCACCCTGACTGACCAACATAAAGGAAGCAGGTTTGCCACCCTTTGGTGGACCCAGCAAGCGCAGAGTGGCACATTCCCAAAGCCAGAGCCGCTCACAGCATTCTCCCTGGGGCCCATTTCTGCCGGCAGATGGGCACACGTCACTCCCATCACTCCAAAGGGAGCTCGTGCAAGTTGGAGAAGCTAGAACTGGGCCCTTTGTGAGAAGGTAGCAGAGACATGAAAGCAGGAGTCTTATTACCCTGCACGAGGGCTGAGGAGGAGACTTGGGCCAGACTTACCGTAACACAGGGGCCCAGAACATGGCTACCAAAAAAGCTGTTTACCTGTAAACATAATCAAGATATAGTGTACCAGGCTCCTGAGAGCACGGCAGGAACACACCTTGGCAAAGCGCAGCCCTACACCACCACGAGCTGCCCTGGGATTGTCAGTTCAAAAGCAAAGATGGCCTCTGAGAAATGCAGTCTACAATCTCGTCAATTTGTTTCGACTCCGGGACAAGAGTATTTTTATGACAATACTGATTCAGACACATGATTATTACCTTCATTTTACACAGGCTTGGAAATTACTTTGATTGGTACATCATTACATTTATATTTTTATCATCAGATTCACTGGCAAGGTTACAGGAGCAGTGGGGCTATGTACTTTGCCACTTGTAGTTTGTTAGTTTAACACACTAGTTGGTGGTCAGACAAGATGATCGGATGGTCCTTTCTGGCCTTATACTCTAGGACTAAAAATTTGGTGTCCAGATCAGTGTGCGTTTGGACATTTCAAGACAGTATTCTGGTCAGTTAGCCCCACTACTCTGCAATATGACCCAGAGCACAGCACGTGCCGCTGTCCCAGTCAGGCATTGGAGATGGACATATTGATCCCGTCTTTGGAAGCTGTTCCCTTAGAAGTCTGTTGTTATATGACTACTGTGCCTTGGGTCTCTGCTCTTCTTTAGTTAGCCACGGAACAGACACCTTCATGTTTACCCCACAAATGCCAAGCAAGAAAAATCAGAATAAATCGCAGATGGAATTAGCGGCAGCAGCAAAATACCAGAGATACTCACAATACAAACTATTTCCCATCCAACACTACTGCATGTGTTAGTGCCACAGAAGAGCTAAGAAGACACACAAGGACAATTCATTTAGAACACATTAATAGGGTTTTGCAGGGCTGGAGGTAGAACTCTTGGGTCATTAGAACAGTCAGAACGCTCCCTGGGTTCTTCTGTGGCCCAGGCTCTAGGTGTCCCTTTGGGCATGCTTGGGGGATAGGATAGGGGGTGGGGAGGCATTCATTGTACAGGGGGTTCCATCAAAGACTGGACAAAAAGACAAAACATTTATAGCAGCATTTGGGGTGCTTCCCATTCTAATGCAGGGAATGCAGCAGTAGAGATAAATTACCTAAGTACAGTAGGTTTCCCTTTTCAATGGCACCTACTTTATATCTAAAACTCCTATGTGCACTCAGCATGTTTTGCCAGGTCAGGACACACCGCTGGAAGTGGGGGCTTCTCTGCCAGTGTTACAGGAGATCTGAGAACAGTCATAGGAATACACGACAAACTTGGGATTTTAGGAGCACATACCCTCTTTTTCTTGTGTAGCAGCCACACCATCCTCGAATCTCTTTATACACCACCCGGGAAAGGAACTGGAAGGGAAAAGACACTCAAGATGAATATCGGACTTATGATTCTAGCCTCTGGGAAAGTATTGAAGATACAGTCCCCCCACCTTCCCTGTCCCTGGAGTGAATGAGAAGTAGGCAAACAACTGGATGAATGATTTAGTCTGAATTTAGTTCGTCAGGCCATGTATCGTCTATAAATGAATTATTTATTCACCACAGATCCAGGGAATAATTCTTTGTTTGTCAATTGAGAGCATTTTCATTATGAGTATTCAAGAGTCAAAATTCTGATGGGAAAAAGGAGTCACAGGGTCTATATCTAACCCCTGATTGGATGAGCATATTCCTAACCTCAGGTTTCCAAGGACAACACTTGGTTAAATACAGGCTTTGCTTTCTGCAAATGCTCTGAAACATTGACATCATTTGCCATCTCCATGACTATTCCTGCCAAGTCTTGTTTTCTAGCGTGTTCCTGCAAAGCAAAACACGCACACCTGCAATCACAAATCTGACAAAACAGGAGTGGAAAAGCTCCTGATGAAGAGCAGGATGTCCAGCAATGACATGGAAAGGTGCAGATGCAAGTCACAGTGAGCCAGGCTCACTTCCAGCAGAGTTACCTCCTTATGGAAGTGGGAAGCCAGCGAAAAGGCAGAGCAGTGGTGTCGTCAGGGGTGGGGAGGAGGAATACTGCAAGGACACAGATTCCAACCCAGACTGGGGCCCCATGGTGGTGCTAGGTGCTGTGCACAGGTCAGTGATAGAGCCAGGAATAGAACCCAGGTATCCCCACTTCCAGTCCAGCGCCCTGCCCACTTTGCCCCTTTCAGCGACCCCTGGCCAGTTAACAGCAGCATTGGCTGTCAGAGTCAAGGGAAAGGGTTGGGACGGCTTTGTGGCCTGCATCATGCGGGAGGTCAGACTAGATGATCATAATGGTCCCTTCTGACCTTAAAGTCTATGAGTCTATGAGAAGAAGGGGGAAGAAAAGAGTGCAGATTTTTTTTCGATGCCCCAGTGCAGCGCAAAGGAATTAGGAAGAGCAAAGCGGTTCAGAGCCGAGGCTGTGTAACAAATCTAGGAACCACTTCACAATGGCTGTGCATAAAAGCAGCACTAGACAGAAGAGGCTGGTCATTGTGCCTGGCTTTATACAGAGCCCCCTACTTTCATCATGCAGGCGACAGTCTTATTTACAGAGCGCTTTTGCCTGTTATCTTGAGCGTGTTCTAAGCTATGGAAATGCTCCCCGCTCTGAAATGGGACCAGTTGCTGTTTGACATGTGCACGGCAGCACTACACAAGTGTTTAGGGCAGGAAATGAAGAGTCCTGTATCCAGCTGACACTCCAGGAGTAACACTGGGAGACAAATGCAATTAACCCCACTGGCATTTGGTCACAGCACCGGAGTTCCTCCCTCTGCTCTTGACAAGCATGCCAAGGGCTTTGGGTGCTGTCCGTCAAACACGATGTTACCCCCTCAGGATGCTGGGACACGAATTCATTGCTGCCTCAGAGAGAAGAGCACCAAATACTCAGGCCCCAGCACTAAGTGCTACAGATCCTGGCCTTTCCTTAGCGGCTACCCATCCAAATGCAGGCCAGGCCAGACACTTAGCTTGTGAAATCAGACACACCCCCTGGCCCAGCTGCACACCAATCCCCTAATCTGCATCAAGAAGCCACCACAGGCTCAAGAGAAACCCACCAGGCAGGCCAAGATGTCCGCTGTTATTAGCATGTAGAAGACATTGTTCCAGCCAGTGGGAGAGATCAGCCCTGCCAGCAGGGGGCCCAGAGCAGCACCTGCAAAGGACAAACAAAGCAGATCACTAGCGGCCATGAACCATCCCGGGCAGCCAGCCTTTGGCCACTGGCATATGCAGGGCAGCAAACCCATGCCCAGCCCCCACGTCAGTTCTGGCACACGTGCTGGAGTGCTTGAAGGCTGCAGGCTCCCGCTCCTCTGCCGGCTCTCAGCCATCTCCTCCCCTGCCAGTTTCTCACCTTGCTCCCACCCCCATCTTCACAGCCGCTGCTGGTCAGCAATGCCCCCTTGTGTTCTCCCACTGCCCCTGCTATCAGGCACTGGCCAGACTCGCCGGATGCTGCAGCTGGGCCTGCAGATCCAGCTCCCACTTCCCAAGGGCCAGAAGAGAGCGGAAGAGCTTGCCCCAGGTCTCCCCTCCGAGCAGTCTCCACACATGGCTAGCACTAGCCTCCCAGCCCTGCTCAGGAAGCAAGTGTGCCTGGACTCCCCTGGCTCCAGCCACAGGCAGAGCTGGAGCTGCCGGCAGTAGCTTTCCTCCTGCCCCAGCCAGGGTGTGCCTCACTGCCTAGCTCAGTCCCACAGCAGGGTTATTTATCGGGCGCTGGGGACCATTTAATCGCCGGGGCCTCTGAGCAGTAGAGTTTGATTCTACTTGGCAGTTTGAAAAGCTCCTTGCAGCACCTGCACCATTAGCTCCCACCCCCTGGGCCGCGGGAATCCAACTGTTCCCCTGGGTCTTATCCCCTCCTTTCCCGTCTCTCTGCCTGCCCGAGAATGGCTGGCGGAAGCTTACGGGACCCAATCACCATCCCTGCAGAGGGAAGTAAAGAGTCTCTCTCCCTTTCCCTTCTCTTGAGTAAAGCAGGCTGGCTCTGGACCATTCCCAGCTCACCGGCAGCCTGTGTTCCCTTAGGGCAAAGGGTGCTGGACCCTGGGGGCAAGAGGAACATAGACCCTACTGGGGGCAGGAGAGCTGGGGGTTGAATTAGGTTCTCCAGCTACTGTATGGAGTTCTTGGAACAGTTTGCCCCCCTTGGTTAGTACAGCCAACCTTACTCACCTATAGATCCAGTCCCATCAATTATGGCTGTAACAGTGGACAGGGCTTTTGCATTTCCTTTGAGACACTCGTGAGTTCCCTGTGCGGGAGGGGAAGTAAAAAATACTGGAGTAAAAATGAGGGGTACAATTTGTGATCCATTCAGTGCATCCTGAACCCTGACTCATTCTGGTTACTGGGTTAGTCCAGGACCTGTCTCCAGCTTCCAGCGAGGAATGCTGGTATCAAAATGCCAGAGAGGTTTCTTCGGCGACAGGCAGATTTAGGAACACACCCTCTAGGGAGACAGTTTCCTGAAGAGGGGAAACCCCTTTCCTGAATACTTGCCCTGGAGAGGGAGATTCTTAGACCAGTAAGCGACATCTTTGGGAACTTGCTCCCCTTCCATGTACCAAGAGGGGGCAGCATTCCAATCGTCTGATTTTCTGCACATTTCATGTTGCCTCCTACAGCCACCTTCCAAAGGCAGGCGAGCAGCACTAGAGCTCACAATGGCTGAAGTACTTTGCTCTGCCTGAAGGAGAAACTGCTTTGGCCTCTCTGGAGTCCTGGCTTGTGCTGGTTGGAGCGGAGGGATTTTTGAAGGCTGAAGGTCGGGAGGGAAAATTGATTTTTTGCTGGCTTCTTTGCAGATTTACTGCATCTAGCTGCCCAACACAAGGGCCAGACTGGGTCAGATTCTCTGCTGTTACTTACAGTGTTTCAGCTACATTTGTATTGAATCTTTGGAGGAGGAGGGGTGGGGGTGGCACCTCCGTAGTTTGCCTGAGTTGATAGTAAGATTGATGAATGGATAATAGGATCATAACTGAGGACTTCCATTGCTGTAGTGCCCAATGACCCCAATCGGGTGCAAGGTTCCATTGTACTAGGCACTGCACAAACATAAAACAGACCCTTCCTGCGAGAGCTAAAAATCCAGTGATTTTAATCCCACCTGATTTTACTAACTCCGCAGTTGTAAAGTTTTTAAGGCTAGGGATTTCAAAGAGGTTTCAGAGCCAGGTGCCCAAATATCACTGAAATTCAACCGGAGTTAGATTTTAAGTCCCTTCTTTTCCTCCCCCCCACCCCCAAAATCCTATCTTTAAGCCAGTTACGAAAGCAGGTAGAAATATCTTCAATTTGAACAAGCTGAAAAAGTGTTACCTTTAAAAAACAACCCGAAGTTACTTCCCTATGAATTAAGGATGGAATTTTCAAAAGCGTATTGTACTGGGTCCATTTTGCTCCCACTGAAGTACATGGGAATTAGCTTGATGCAAGCCCGACTGCAGGCTGTAAAAACACCTTAAGTATAGTGGTGCTACCTCCCCGCTCTATTAGAATCTTAATGGGAAGCTCCTAAGGAGAAGGTCATTTGGAGGAGAAAGCGAGCAGCATGTAGACAGCTTCCCCTGTCCCTCAGAAGGCCTTCCAGTTTGTTAGAGGAACTTTTGGGCAGTTGCTGACAGTGGGGCCCTGGCAAGGAATGGGACTCTGTGCTGTCCGACCACAGAGCTGTTTATCAGCTAGTCTTACATTTGATCTGAAGAGCGTCAGCCCAAGCGTGTGCCAGGACTGGGAAGACGACGTTCTAGTCTTAAAAGCAGCAGCAACAGAAAATATCCTTGCACAACTGAGGAACACTTGGACTGGACTAAATCTTTTGAAACCCGATACTAGCAAACACCTTCTTATGCTTGGCTGCTCTGGAGAATTTACCTCAGGGACTCTTACAGCCAGCGGATTGCGTAAAACCACAAATCTTTCTGAACTGCCTCGGAGATGTCTGAGCACTCTCTGCGTACCACGTCACTTAAATCCCTCCACGTTTCTAATGCAGCGTCCCAGCCCTTGTCCCCCTGCCGCCAGGAGGGCTCAACCCAGGTGTCAGCTTTACACTTGAGGAGAAGACTTTCCTGCACTTGTGCTGTGTGCAAACCTAGCCCAGGGAGGGGAGGAGGGATTTGCACTAATGAGAGGCCCAAGATGCGGGTATTTGCACGTGACCCACCAGTAACAACCCTCTACGGCGAAGTTCAGAAGAGACAGAACAGCCTTTGTGTGGAGGGAAGTGCACAAAAAGCTGCAGTTGGAATGGAAAGCCTCAAACTTTGAGCCAGGCAAAAAATAAGAAAAAGGCTCAAGTGAGACGAGAGGGGCCAGGTCTACACTAGGAAATTAAGTCTGCGTAACTACATTGCATAGGGGTGTGAAAAATCCACCCTCCCTGTGCGATGCAGTTAAACCAACCTAACCCCTGGTGTAGACAGTGCTATGTTGACGGGAGGGCTGCTCCCGCCGACACAGCTGCTGCCTGGTCGGGGGGGGGGGGGGCGGGCGGAGGGGTGGAGAAGCCACACCAACAGGAGGGCTGCTCCCGCCGATACAGCTACCGCCTGTTGGAGGGGGTGGAGTAGCCACACCTGATGGGAGGGCTGCTCCCATCAGCGTAGGTAGCGTCTTCACTAAAGTGCTGCAGTGTTTTGAGTGTAGACCTGCCCTAAGAAAAAACAAACAGTGTAATTCTTACCAAGTCAGCTGAAACCGCTGTCGTAATGAGAGCATAAGGCCCATTCACCAGGGCACCACATATAATTAGCATAGCTGCAAAGAAAAAGAGTATCAATACTACAGCACAGCTGGCCCTGCTGTATGCCAAGATCCTACAGCGATCCAGTCAGAGATTTGCTACACTCTACTGTAGGGAACAGCGCTGTACTGGCAGGATCTACCGTGTGCTTCTAACGTCTATGAACTCTCAGTTCTGCCACTGAGTTCATAGCAGGACAACGGGGTCACCATGGGAGCAAGGGAATTGGAAGCAAGAGCCATTTGGAGTTACAGGCAGCCCAGGAAGGCCCTGTTAGGTTAAGAGTCCCCTCTCCATCTCCAACACACTATTCTGGAGGTCACTGCAGGACGGGTTCTGCATTACACATTTACTCTTCCCTTGCAGAATGTCATCGTCTTCCCTCCTCTGCTTCCCTAGTGCCTGCAGGCAGGAACAAACTCTTACAAACACGACTTCAGTGATGCTGTGACCTCCATTTCAGCCACTTAGCTGATAAAGTGATTGGAGCTTGAGTCCTGGGGAGAGGGCAAGGAGATGAAATAAGACTAGTTGGGGTCCACTGCATCTCCGCTCCCCCTTGCTATTCTAAGGCCTGAAACGGGACTACAGTGGGGACAGAAGAATAAGCCGAGGCTTGGGGAAGGCTGAGTGCTGATGGGAAGAGAACATTCTGGGCGGTGACAGCATCACTTTATTCTGCAGTTCTCAGCCATAGTTCGGTGCTTTGACAAGGGTGACAGTGAGTGAGGTTCAGCCCAGAACAGCCTGGATCAAAGGAAGGTTTGCTAGGGACCTTGATGCAAACAGGTTTTGAAGGCAGAAATGGGGTGTTGGCGGGGGGTGGAGAGGGGAGCTTTATAAAATAACAGCAATAGCAACCGTGTGGCACCAGTGACTAGTTGTGATTGTAAGGCCAGAGGCATGCCATGCATCCGAAGAAGTGGGTATTCACCCACGAAAGCTCATGCTCCTATACGTCTGTTAGTCTATAAGGTGCCACAGGACTCTTTGCTGCTAAGGCCCGAGGGGCGCGCTGTGATCACTGAGTCCGATTTCCTACAGGCCACTGAATTTCACCCAGCAATTCCTGCATTGAGCCCAATAACTGTTGGGGCCATGATTTGATTTAAAAAGATGTCCAGGTGCTGGAGATTCCACCACATCCCTAGATGAATTCTTCCAATGGTCAACCAATCTCCCTGGTAAAAAAGCCATCTTATTCCAGTTTGAACTTCACCAACTTAAGGTACAATGGCTGGAAGCGACTTCTGCCTTTGGATGCTAGATTAAAGAGCCCTCTAGCATCAGACGTCATCTCCCAGTGTACATAACTACAGTCCATGGTCTACCAGTTAAGATTTCCCTAGGGCAGATAATTCTGGAGGAGACGGGAGAACGCGTCTAGAGGGTTTATTTGCCTCCAGAGAGGCACATCTAGAAACTCAGAAACTTGTGAACAAACTCACTGGTTTGTTCCAAAGAGCCTGGAGTTCTACTTACCTACTGAACTGCCTATTCCATTCTGGCCAACGTGATTGTACAGGAATAGCTGGAAGCAAAGAGGAGAAACGGATTATGCCAGCAGGTTAGAATTACCAAACCCCTTAGCTAATTTCTGCTCTCCTCCATAGACCTCAGCTGGGTGGAGTGCCATGGCCTAGCTGCAGCTATAACAAGTGGGTACAAGTATCAGGGTTATTTCTATGGAAACCCTACATGGACAATCCCGGACCACAGACAGTGATTTGTCACAAGTCCTGCCCCCCCCCCCCCCCCCCCCCCATTCAAGAAGGAACTCGCCTTCCTCTTGAGATCAAGCAGAGTGTCCCTGGGTCCCAGACGAGTTGCAAGGTGCAGTGAGCTAGTCCTGCCTGGATGCTGGTTCTGTCCCCTTTCCCAGCTAACCCATTTTAGCTTGCAGTGGTGTGCAAGACCCCGAGTCCACATCTGGATCCTTTCAGACAAAGGAGGGGCCACCACTGTCTAGCTTGGGGGCCTAATGTCAGGTGCTAAATCCATTCTCTGAGGGACAGAGTACGTACTGCAGTTCCCGCTGAAGCCGGAAGTTGGGGTGCTCATGCTCTTTGAATGTCAGTCCATTTACTTAGCTGCCTAAATACACACTGAGGTCCTTCATTTAGACCTAGTTTGTGGCTGGGGGATTTTGGGGCAGTACATGCACATGTGCACGGCTCCCTCTCAGCGCAAAAGGAAATGCTCACAGAATTTGGCCTCGGCTCAAGAAGGCTCTTGGGTAAACCTAACCTGCACTCCAGCAGTTAAGTTCTCATGCTTAACTCCTGGAACCAGATGCGTCAGGGTGGAGGACGCAGCAGTATTGATTCTGTACCCGTCTCTCGTCCCTTCTCCCAGACAAGAGTAAAGCAGAGAGGGTGAGGAGAGCCAATTAGACATACCCAGGTATGAGCGGGTGGGTCATTCAATGATCAGAGGGCACGGTTAGTTCCAAGGCAGCATTAGATTGGTTAAGAGCCATTATCCTGAAGGGAGATCTCTTTAGGAGTTGAGTGTGGGAAAAGAGGCCCATTATGGCATGTTAAGGAGAGTGTTACTTCCATCCTCGCTTGCTGAGAGAAGGGGGGGGGGGGAAGGGGGACATTGCCACATGTCCCCAGAGCATGAGTCAGTGTCAATCCTGCCAGTGTTCATCCCAGCCAATCACATCTGAAGCCAAGGGTTATGGGAAGTGTTCTAGAGACACCTGCTGGTCACTCAGTGATGTGCTTTTAACAGGAGGTTAAGTTTTACCGCTTGCACTCAATTATTTCTTGGTTTGAAAAATGTTTAGTCTTTCTAGAAAGTGCGACTTGAGTAAGTCAGCCAGAGCAGATGTTGGCAAGTATTTATGGGAGGGCCGGACTGAAGGGGAATAACAGAGCCAGAATCTCTCATTTGGCCTTCAGCTCTGTGGTTCGACTGCCAGATAAAATATCCGCAGCTGGTAACTGGACAGCTAGCCAAACATAGCTGTCTTTGAGATTCAGTTTCATTTGGTGGGCCATGTGAATCCTGAGTCTGGAAGAAGGTGAAATCCAGCAATACAAAATAATGTGTCTCTGTGGTGCTATCACTGCTCTAGCATGGCATAAGGACCAGGACCTCAGAGCCTGCATTCTGACCTCCTAGACATGGACGCACTGTTGCAGCTTTGCACTAATGATAGACTGCGGCATCAGAGGCATTTGGGCTGGGAAGAGAATTGCAGCTAAGAGTCAGAGTGCGTTCACATTGCAACTTGGTCCAATGAGCTGCTTTTAGGGGTGAACGGTGAAGTCAAACTGAAGTGGAGTTCAGCACAGACGTGGGGGGTAATATTACCCATGGGGGAAAAAGCCACAAACATTTTAACTTTAACTCCTCTTTTACTCCAGAACCCACAGGGCACTTCTGGGCTGGCAGAAGGAGTCCCGTTGTTAGAGCCCTGTGCAGATACATAATTAGTATCTGCATCTGATCTGCAAACATAGCCCGTGGATATCCATAGATTTGCAGGGCTCTATCCATTGTGATGGGGGGTTGGATTATTTTCAGCAACTATCAACATTGGCTGCTTTGATCTGGTGACCCAGAGGTACCATAACCTGCCACCAGCCCAGACAATACCTGCCAACAGGCCCATCTTCCCAGCACTGTGCAGCTGGGTCTGACAGTCCTGGACGCCTGGATGAGCAGCCAGAGTTTAAAAACAGCCTTCTGGCTGTTACTGGGTGCTGTGCAAAGTAGCCAGGAGGGTGCCCCATTTTCCCTGCCTGAGCCACCATGCATTTGAACAGAGGAGGAGCTCCAGCAGGGAGCAGTCAGATGCCAGCCTCCTGCCAGATTTCCATAGCAGCAGGACAGCCATCCGCACCTCACTGATTCACAGCTGCACCAAGAGCGCCTCTGTGCTGCAGAGAACTCCAGCGCCTTAGAACAAAAGGGATGGCTATTCCCGGATTCATTCATTTTTGCTCCCACCCTCCATTCCTCTTGGAGAAACCAAGACTCTGAAGGTGCCTTTCTACCCCAGCTAAAGGGAGTAGATGGGTCCCTATTCAGTGATTGATTCCAGCCTCACTTGGAATGACACATTAGGAGTTTTGAACATTAATAGGGGAGTACAGCTTTTCTGTTTCAGACCCACATTGACTAGGCAGAGGAGCAGCAGTCCTGAGAGAATTGCTCTACACTCCTGCCTCTTACTGGAGAACATTACAAGAGCTAGTACAGGGCAGAACCAAGAAGCTATTTAGTCTCTAGGGTGCAGACCAAGCACACTTGGTATCAGGCTATGGAGTAAAAGTTTAGGAAGAAGCAGCTGGATAGTGGAGTAGACTCCCAAGGGAGGTGGAGGTGGCACCCTCACTGCAGAGGTCCAGGAGGGGACAGTGAGCAGAGTGCAGGGGGTGGAGGAAAGCCTCTCACATGGCCTCCTGTGCCCAGCTGTGGAGGATGCTGGAGCCCCTTACAGTCTAGGAAAAGCTCCAGCGTGAATATCCTCCTCCAGGAACAAGAGCTAGACATGAAAGCTGTGACTCACGCTGATCCCGCCCCAGGTTCCAGACTTCCCTGCACAAGGGTCCATCTGGCCACTCGTTGCAGGAAAGTGCATACGACTCAAAGGGGCGCACGTGGGGAGGAGGCTCACGTCAAACCCTCATGACCAAGGACAAGCGAACATTTTCCATCACAATACACACCATAGGAGCAGCCACTATCAGCATCACACAGCACGTGGTGGCCCTGCCGCCAGTGTAGTCCGATATGAGACCAGCCAGAATGCCTCCTGCATGAGAAAGTCGCATACTTTGTATTTTGTCAGAGCAGGAGTTTGTCCCACTGTTGCCTTCCCACACGATTTCAGGAAGGTGCTTGGGGCCCTGCAGACAGATGTTACCGTCTGGTCACCGGTTAGACCCCAGGCAGAGGAGAGAATTCCAGGAGACTCACTCAGTGAGCTGGAGAATAGACATATGCAGCAAGGGCCTGGATTCTAAAGAGCTGTCACGACAAGTCAATCAGTGAGCACAATAATAAAAATACGTGCTAATAATTGGTACTTCTATTAGCACAGGCCATCCACGGCTCTTAACATGCTTTACAAACAGGAGTCAATCCTTACAGCCCCCTGCCCCGGTGAGAAAGGCAAGCGTTACTCCCACTTTTCAGATAAAGCCCAGGGAGAGGACAGGGAGCCCTACGCATCACATACGGCCAACTTGGGACACTCGTGGTCAGAGGCACTGAGCACCCTCGACTCCAGCTAGCAATGGGAGTGGTGGGTGCTGAACACCTCTGGCAGTCACGCCTCATCTCAAGATAGGCATCCAAATCAGGACACACATTTGACAGTGTAGGTATAACTGAACTGGCCAAGGTCCCGCCAGGAACACAACTCCTCTCTCCTTTAGCCACAAGTCATCATCCCTCCCTGTCCACAACGGCAACACAGCAAGCAAGAATGAAGAATGCCAGACCTAGGATGCCGCCAACATCAAAGAGCGTGGACAGGTCCCCAGCCTCCTTAGCGCCGAAGTGAGCTGCAATGAAATGAGAGACATCAACAGAGACATTCACTTGTCAGAAGTTCAGAGCAAGCCTGAGCTCTGGCTGTGTGGTTATTCTCCTGCCATCAGGAGCCGGAGCTCTTGGGGCTGAGAGACAGGCATCCACTGGTGCTGGGTATGGATCTCCTGGGAGCCAGAAGTAGCTCTTGTGGATGGCCAGGAAGACACCTTGTTCACTAGGAGCCCATTGGCCGGACCTTGCACCCTAGACGCAGGCACAGGACGCACTGTCACTTGCTCAATTTGGAGCAACATTTGCATCTAAACCCCACGGACCTGCCCAGCACCATGATGGGCGTCACTGAGAACAGCTGGCCGCAAGAGCGGAGCTGCCATTGTGGTGTACGTCTGTGTCCCTCAGCTGAGGTCCCACACACTCCTGAACCACAGACAGGTTTTCCCAGGAGACTGAACACTTACGAGGAAGCAGAGAACACTTTCTTGCTCCTAGGAGCAAATGAGCAAGATTCTCTGCGGGACGCCTGTGCACTCCTGGCAGGAGAATGAGAACCCTCCATCCAGGGCACACCCGGTGAAGTGGTTAAATGGGCATTAGTAGCTTCCTGTGACTCACCAACATTCACAATGTAGAGAGGCAGCCAGTAGAGGAAAGTGTAACTGACCAGCTTTGCAAACAGCAGGCATAAGGAGAACTCCACCACACCCTGGGGAGGAGATGGAGGGGAGAAGGGTCAGTGTCAGAAAACCCCAAGGCACAGAGGGGACCCCTATCCTCCCCCTTCCATCCTCTTCTCTCTCCCGGTTTGCTTTCATCCCAATCCCATATGTCGGGTGCATCAGTGGTGCTAATGATCATCTTAAACTCACTCATTACCTTGGACAATTAAACAGCTTCACCACAGTATCTGCAGAGTTCTAGGTGTTCGGGAAGCATACGGCTGATAGGGAACACTGCAGACACTGAGGGAATGTTATCCGAAGCACCATCAGACAAGGAGTTACAAGCTCCCAGGGAAACGGCCCACCATTTGGATTTCTCGGACGCACCAGGCACACCCACTGCACACTAGTCACCTTCCTTAAAATAAACATCAAGAAGAGCAGTGGAGCATTGTCCTGCTGAATTTTCGAACAGTAGGCCTCCTCCACTCACACCTCACTTTTATTCATAGACCGGAGGAGGAAAACAAGCTTTCCTAACTCCCAAACTGGTTTCTCAACTTTGAAGGAAAAAGTCATGGAACTGAGCTTGTTGAATACATTGAAGTGAAGAAAGGAACGTATTCTCGCTGCACGTGCAGAAGCGGCTACTGCTGTCAAAATTTGGTTTAGCACGTCAACAAACTCTGCTTCCAGGTGCTTGGCCAGGGACTTCCCCCAAGTCAGTGCTTTGACTTTCTTTAGAAGTTCAGCAATGAACATGGCCTGCTTGAATTTTATTGAAATTTTAACAGATTGTACCATTTTTAGGCCTTAGTATAGGATAGCAATTTCAAAATTTTAATTTTCAATAGGTTTATTTTAAAAAATATAAATGTATTGAATTGAAATACATTTTTAAGCACAACAATACTTGATTTTTCTCTGCTGCTGGGCTGTGTCTCCGGTTGCCAACCCTCCAGGATTGTCCTGGAGTCTCCAGGGATCAGAGATTAATCATTAATTAATGATTAATGTCATGTGATGAAACCTCCAGGAATACATCCAACTGACGCTGGCAACCCTAGCGGTGTCTCCATGCCTCCCTTTCCCCTCTGTACAATGGGGACAGTGGCACTACCCTGCCTCACAGGGGGTTGAGAAGATACACTGGAGATTGTGAGGCGCTCAGTTACTGCAGTAATGGAGGCCACATGGAACACAGACGGGTCGGGGAAGGCACCAAGGCCCCTCCGGGGAGGCCTGGTAGCAAGTGGTGACAGAGCCCCCCAGGCAGCTAGGAGAACCCTGGTTTGAGGGGATGGGAGGGAGTGGTGCACACCCTCGGGGCTAGCCCCTCCCACTGGGGCCGTGGACAGCCAGGGCTGCTCTTAAGGACCAGAGACTCAGGCCCATTGTGCAGAGGGTGCTGGGCATCCTGCTCTGTAATCCGGTCAGTCATTGGGTCCCCAAGGTTAACTCCTCCCCCGCTAGGAGGCAGGGGCTCCCGTCTTGTCAGAGTCTGACAGGCCAGTGTTTTGCCTGTGTCTGCTCTGGTCATTGGCTGAAAGACAAAGCTAGTCCTTGCCTTTTGCTAGTAAGCATCTCCTCAATCCTTCCAGATGATGTCATGGTATCCTTTCGCACAGGATACCCCTCCAGGGGAGGGGACACCAATTACCTGGAAGAGCCAGGTAATAGTACTGGGGGATTCGATCATTAGAAATATTGCTAGCTGGGGTTGTGATGACCAGGAGAACCGCATGGTGAATTGCCTGCTGGGTGTGAAGGTTGCAGACCTCTCGAGACATCTAGACAGATGTATGTACAGGGCTGGGAAGGAGACGGTGGTTATGGTACATGTGGGTACCAGTGACATAGGGAAAGGTAGGACAGAGGTCCTGGAAACCAAACTAGATAAGAGATTAAAGTCCAGGACCTCCATGGTAGCATAGTTCCTCACACAGGGCCAGTTAGACAGGCAGAACTGCAGGGTCTCAGAGTATGGATGAGATGATGGTGTTCGGAGGAGGGACTTCGATTTATTAGGAACTGGGGAAGCTTGTAGGAAAGGAGGAGCCTATACAGGAAGAATGAGCTCCATCTAAACCAAATGGGAACCAGATTGCTGGCATGGAACATTAAAAAGTTTGTAGAGGATTTTTTTAAACTAAGAGCTGGGCCAAAGCCGACAGGTTCAGAGGACCACATGGTTTGAACAGACATCCCACTGCAGTAGCACTTAACTTCAAAATGGGGAACTACAGAAAAACGAGGAAGCTAATTAAACAGAAATTAAAAGGAACAGTGACAAGAGTGAACTATCCGCAAGCTGCATGGAAACTTTTATAAACACCATAATAGAGGCACAAATTAAATGCATACCCCAAATTAAAAAAAAATAGTAAAAGAAGTGGTTGGAGGCAAAAAGACACCCTTTAAAAATTGGAAGTCAAACCCTACTCGGGAAAATAGAAAGGAGCATAAACTCAGGCCTGGTCTACACTACAGAGTTCTATGTAAGGCAGCTTACATTGATCGAACTCTGTAAGCGTCTACACTAAAATGTAGCTCCCACCAGTGTAACTCGTCCACTACACCGATTTAATAACTCCACCTTGGTGAGAGGCGTAGTGCTGAGGTCAATGTAGTTAGGCTGATGCAGTGCCAGTATAGACACTGTGTTGTTTACATTGACTGGTGCAGCCTTTCAGTTGCCATCCCACAATGCTCCACACTAACAGTTAAATCGGTGCAAATACTCCTGGTGAGAGCGCACACCGCCGACACAAGGAGAGTAGCATGGACGTGCAAAAGCAATTTAGTTACTTGGGTGGCTGTACAATGACATATCTTAGGTTGACTTAATTTTGCAGTGTAGACTTGCTCTCAGGCAAGTCAAGGTATAAACGTACAAGTAGGCGGGCCACAAAAGAACCTGAAGAACAACTAGCAAGACACAAAAACGAACAGAAAAAAAAACAAAAAACAAAACAAACAAGTAACAACATTAGAAGCGGGAAGCCTGCCAAAAGTCAGTGGGGGTCACTGGACGATCGAGATGCTCAAGGCCTTAACACAGCATGTTTGTTGGAGAGATGCTAAATGAATTCTTTGCACTGGTCTTCACTGCAGATGATGAGGGAGATTCCCAGACCTAAGCCATTCCTTTAAGGTGACAAATCTGAGGAGCTGTCTCTGACTGAAGGGTCAGGGGAGGAGGTTTTGGGACAAATTGTTAAATTAAACAGTAATAAGTCACCAGGACCAGATGGTATTCATCCCAGAGTTCTAAAGGAACTCGTATATGAAACTGCAGAACTACTAACTGTGATATGTAACCTATTGCTTAAATCAGCCTCTGTACCAGATGACTAGAGGATAGCTAATGTGACACCAATTTTTAAAAAAGGCTCTAGAGGTGACCCTGGCAATTACAGGCCAGTAAGCCTAACTTCACTACCAGGCAAATTGGTTTAAACGACACTAAAGAACAGAATGATCAGAGACACAGATGAACACGCTTTGTTGGGAAAGAGTCAACATGGCCTTTGTAAAGTGAATTCATGCCTCACCAATCTATTAGAATTCTTTGAGGGGGTCAAACGCACACATGGACAAGAGTGATCCAGGGGATATAGTGTACTTGGACATTCAGAAAGCCTTCGACAAGGTCCCTCACCAAAGGCTCATAAGCAAAGTAAGCTGTCATGGGATAAGAGGGAAGGTCCCTCTCATGGATCAGTAACTGTTAGAAAGACAGGAAAGAAAGGGTAGGAATAAATGGTCAGTTTTCACAGTGGAGAAAGGCAATAGCAGGCCCCCACAAGGATCTGTACTGGGACCTGTGCTGTTCAACATATTCATAAATGATCTGGGAAATGGGGTAAAGAGTGAGGTGGCAAAGTTTGCAGATGATACAAAATTACTCAAGATAGTTAAGTCCAAATCAGACTGGGAAGAGCTACAAAGGGATCTCACAAAACTGGGTGACTAGGCAAAAAAAAAAGGCAGATGAAATTCTACGTTGATAAATGCAGAGTAACACACAATGGAAGACATAATCCCAACTATCCATACAAAATGATGGGGTCTAAATTAGCTATTACCACGCAAGAAAGAGATCTTGGAGTCGTGGATAGTTCTCTGAAAACATCTGCTCAATGTGCAGCGGCAGTCAAAAAAAGCTAGTGTTAGGAACCATTAGGACAGGGATAGATAATAAAACAGAAAATATCATAATGCCACTATATAAATCTACAGTATGTCCATACCTTGAATACTGCTTGCAGTTCTGGTCACCCCATCTCAAAAAGGATACATTAGAATTGGAAAAGGTACAGAGAAGGGCAACAAAAACAACTGGGGGTATGGAACAGCTTCCATATGGGGAGAGATTAAAAAGACTGGGAATGTTCAGCTTGGAAAAGAGACGACTAAGGGGGGATATGAAACAGGTCTACAAATTCTTGACTGGTGTGGAGAAAAAGTGTTATTTACCCCTTCACATAAACACTAGAACCAGGGTCACCCAATGAAATTAATAGGCAGCAGGTTTAAAACAAAAAAAGGAAGTATTTCTTCACACAACGCACAGTCACCCTGTGGAACTTGTTGCCAGGGGATGTTGTGAAGGCCAAAACTATAATGGGGTTCAAAAAAGAAGTAGATAAGTTCATGGAGGACAGGTCCATCAATGGTCATTAACCATGCTCTGGGTGATCTAAACCTCTGACTGCTAAAAGCTGGGACTGAATGACAGGGGATGGATCATTAGATAAAATTGCCCTGTTCTGTTCATTCCCCGCTGACACTTGCCACTGTGGGAAGTCAGGATACTGGGCTAGATTTAATATATGGAGATATACCTATCTCACAGAACTGGAAGGGACCCTGAAAGGTCATCGAGTCCAGCCCCCTGCCTTCACTAGCAGGACCAAGTACTGATTTTTGCCCCAGATCCCTAAGTGGCCCTCTCAAGGATTGAACTCTCAACCCTGGGTTTAGCAGGCCAATGCTCATACCACTGAGCTATCCCTCCACCAATACGGCCATTCTCATGTTCAGCTACACACCTTGGATTTCACCTAAGTCGGTGCCGGTGTACAGTAAGTGGCATCCCAAATCCCACAGGACATTAGCCCCCTGCTCAGAATACTCTGGACCCACTAGCTGCCTGGTTCTTCTACTCACAGGTATCCGGAGGGCTCCTAAGAAGCTGATGGCTTCTGGCTGCTCGGCTGGTTCTTTGGCATACTCTGAAGAATCGATAGTGTTCTCTCGGCTACAGCTCCCATCATCAGTGGAGAGCGTCACTTCAGGGTCTTTCTCCTCCGATTCTTCCGATTCCGTCTGAAACCAGATTAGCCCAGCAGTTTACACTCAGGCAGCTGGAGCAGAGGGTGTCCATACCCTGGCCTGGCACACCTGTCGAGCCCAGCCCTCCCCTTGGTTGCAGGTACAACTTATTCTCATGCTCAGGCCCATCAGTATAATGGGATGAAGTATTGCATAGCCACACAACTGCGTAACAAGCCTGCTGTTTCAGGGACAGGCATTATAGGCTCCCGTGTAGGGCCCTCACTCCTGGGATCACAAACCTCAGTTGGCATTTAAAAAGAAACAAAAAAACCCACAAACACACACCAAAAACTGCTTCTAGCCCTTATGGCTGCAGACACTTGGGTCATGTTTCCAAGCTGAACCAAGGCAGTGACACCCGCCTGAGTTTGCAGACAGCCTGAAACAATAGCTGACAAATGAGCTTTGCCATTCATCGCAATGGATTTGTTAACAGTGAAAGCCACTGCTGGACAGGGTGGGGGTGGGAGGTGCCCTGCCATCACCACCAGAACAGGGGCTCTCACTGCTGCCACCCCATCATCAGTTCTCGTGGGGTGATGTCAGCAGAGCCCATTCCCCGAAGTTCTTTGCTCAGGGTCGTGGAGGCAGAGTCCTCGCTGCTCAGGCAGCCCAAGGTCCCCAGAAGACGGAACAGTGATTTTCAGTTTTCCCAGAAAGGAGGGTGGTAGCCCTGCCTGACTCCAGCCAGCTCACATGGGCAGCCCCTGCCAACACTGCCCCAGGCAGGGCAAGGTCCCAATGCCAAGCTAAGGCTGTGCCAAGGACTCAACCTCCATGAATTTAAGGCAGCGTGGAGTCCATTAATGGCTATTAGCCAGGACGGGTAAGGAATGGTGTCCCTAGTCTCTGTTTGTCAGAGGGTGGAGATGAATGGCAGGAGAGAGATCACTTGATCATTACCTGTTAGGTTCACTCCCTCTGGGGCACCTGGCATTGGCCACTGTCGGTAGACAGGATACTGTGCTGGATGGACCTTTGGTCTGACCCAGTATGGCCATTCTTATGTAACCTGGCTCTGGGTTTAAGAGATTGACAGGACTAAGGGCTTGTCTACATGGGGACGTTTAGCAGCAGAACTATACTGGTATAATTCTATTGCCACAGTGCAATAAGAATGTCCACACAGGAAGTTGTACTGAATAAAGCAGTGTCATTATACCAGTACATTTCTCTGGGTAGACGAGCCCTAATAGAGCAGAAGTGTGGCAGGCCATGGCTAAAACAATGTACCAAGGTGCCCTGGTTTATTCAGTACACCTTGGTACTGCAAACGCGGGGGTATTCAGGTCAGGAATGAATTGTGCATTGACAGTTACACCTGCCTGCAGCCGGTGCCACTAATCCCACTGCCTGAGTGCTGGACACACATCAGGCTGCGTCCGAGTTTCAAGAGGAAAACTTGCCAACAGTACAAACTCCATTTTTCCTCTCCTTCCCTCCCCCCACCCCAGCTTTTCTATTTGTTCGGGGGAGGGGAGGGAGGAAGAGAAAAGGGAGGAAACGGAAAGATTCAGTTTCTATCAAGGCTGCATGAGGCTGGGAGGAGGGAGAAGGTGGATTTAAACAAACAAACTTTTCCATGAAGTTTCATTTTAGAAAAAAGTTCATAAAAAATAATAATGTCAAGCAGCTGTCAGCAGCCCTTCTTAGGTTCTGCCGAAGAGCTGCCCGGTCAGTGCCACTCACGCAGAGCAGCTTGGCACCCTCGCTAAGTGATGTGTCTCCAGCCCTGCAAAGTGCTCTTAGCGAGGGAGGCCACATGGCTAATGAAAGTAGGAAAGCTCAGAGCCCCACTTGTGTCATGGGATCAATGTGCCTCCGTCGAGGCATCTGAACAGGGGACATGCCAAGAACTTTACAATGCAGCTCCACACAGGTGTCCTGGGGAAATATGTTGTTACAGATTACTTATAGATTCCAACCAGTGAGCTACACAACAGCACACGAGCCAGATTTCAACAGCCAAAGCATCAGGAACACCCTCCTTGAGCAATTCTGCCTCTCTGGTTAACTTGTGCCATTCCCATGGCTGCACATCAGAGCTTTTGCTGTACCACAGCAGAGTGAATTGCTAGCCCCACACCAAGGAAATGGGAAACCTTCTGGAAGCTGGGGTTTGGAACCGTGTTCCCTGGAAACGGCACTGCCCTTGCTGAGAGGGGAAGAGGAAACACCGCCTAGCCCTGGATTCCTCAGAGAGCTTGGAAAGGAAGTTAACTTACATGGTGTAGAGGTGGGTTACAATCAACGTCTTCAGGATCTGAAAGAGAGAGAGAGATTCCACGTGACTGCCACACACACACCCCAACAACCCCATTGCATCCTCCCGTTACCTCAGCACACGTACAACAGCCAGTGTGGGAAGCTAATCCAGCAGTCCCTAGTCTGTAGCATGTGTGCAGGCCACCCCACAGGACAAGAGCTTTCCTGTGCACTAACTCAGGAGTCCCCCAACTAGGAAAAAGAGAGTGCAAACCCTTGTGCGGTGTGCCCCAACATTTTATGCTACAAGACCTGAAGAATAAAAGGCCCCAGTTATGGCAATCTGAAAAGCAGGTCCAAGATTCAGGAGTGACGGCAAAGCCAAGGCTCAGCTGCAGCTCACAGTAAAGGTGACGACTTTAGAGACCAGTGACTATTTCCTAAAGTGAAGTGATCTGGGAGACCCTAAGTGTTCCCAAGGGGCTCATTTCCCCTCCATTTTCCAGCTGCACAGATGGGTGGGAGAGGGCCTTGACTTTTATGGGGAGCATGCCTGGTGGGCAGCAGATCTATACACCTCTAGGGGAGCTCAGAGACCAGAGCACTGGCGGTAAAAACTTAGCGGACACAGTTCAGGTCAGCCATGCAGAGCAATAGCGTGGGCGGGATAGGGAAGCAGTTGTATCATCACGTGCCACTAGATGGCAATAGCTATCTGTTGTTTCCATTCAAAGAGCTCCTAGTCTGAAGTTTAAAGGTGCTCTGAGCTGTCTGAGCCCCGTGGGGCAAGAGACACAAAGGGTCAGATTGACAAGGTATCTAGGCACCTAAAGATGCAGAGAGGTACCTAAGAACGTAAGAACGGCCAGACTGGGTCAGACGAAAGGTCCGTCTAGCCCAGTGTCCTGTCTTCCAACAGTGGCCAACGCCAGGTGCTTCAGAGGGAGTGAACAGAACAGGGCAATTTATCGAGTGACCCATCCCCGTCATACAGTCCCCGCTTATGGCAGTCACATGCTAGAGACATCCAGAGCATGGGGTTGCCTCCCTGCCCCTCTTGGCTAACAGCTGTTGATGGACCTATCCTCCATGAATTTAGTTAATTCTTCTTTGAACCCAGTGATACTTTTGGCCTTCACAACATCCCCTGAGTTCCACAGGTGCCTAACTTGGACACTTTTGTACATCCCACTAGGCACCTCTCTGCATCTTTAGGTGCCTCAATCCCTTTGTAAGTCAGGGCCTGGCCCAACGTTCCCTTTAGCTTTGGGGTCCCCATACATCAGTGGGTAACAATCACAGCAGCGCACCGCGTGAGGATTCTCATGGAATCTGACTGGAAGGCTTTTCCCTCAGGTGACCCCCATGTACCCCAAAGAGCTTTGAAAGCGGTCCACACTGTAAGGTACCATGCCTCCAGCAGAGATCTTTGTGGCTGCAACGGGGCATATGAGCTCCCAGGAACTGCCCTCTCCTCACTGCTGTCCCTGCTTCACTTCTCTGGATGTCAAGAGGCTCCTTTGCCCTCCTTCCATTGTAAGAGTTCAGCCCTACAGCAGACCGCTTCCTGGATTCACATGGCTGCTAAAGCCCCACACAGCAGCTGCGACATGCTAAGCTTGGAAGCGGGCCCCAACTGAGTGCAGCTTTCCCGATGGCTAGCTCCCATGCTGCCGATTTACTGCTCTGCAGGCCAGTTGGAAAGACGCTCAGCAGCTCACCAGCGTGTGCCACCCGGGAGAGAGACTGCCAGGGCCCGAGGTGCACATGCTACGAGGGATAAGAGATTTTGCAGTCACTCCCCTCGGGCATGGCTCTTCTAGGACCTCATGTTCCCTGGAGAGCCAAACCCCTTTCCACGGTTTTCATTCTTATTATCGGCCCATCATTTTCTAGTGTTTCCCCAGAGAGTCTACACATGGCCACGCAGCCCTGTACTACAGAGGACAGTCCCATATGGATCCCCAAAAGGTAGACCAGCCTTTCAAGCCCTAAAGTCAAGAGATAACACTGACTTCTGTGCATGAGAACCGCTCTGACACCACCTACTGTTTCCACACAGGCCGCTGTACAGCCATCAGATAAGGACTTTGGAACCAGGGTCTTTAGCTCAGTAACAAGTCTTGGCTCTTTCCATAGATTGCCTGTGCCCAGGTTATCCTCACTCAGAATTCATCAGCTCAACGAGATATTGTAGAATAATCAGTTTTTGGTCCATCAAGAGTCTGCTCTTCACAGTTAGAGCTCTGCCAGCTAGCTCGGATTAACACTGATCTCAAACACACCCATGAGACTAGCAGCTTTGGGGAAGAGTTCCTCGGACAGCCTGAATCCATAGCCCATGGATATGCTCCAGCACCAACTGGTTCCATCTGCCATTTCCACCAATGCTCCTGCCAGGGAACCTGCTCGCGGGAGGGTTCTCAGACCCCAGCACAAAGGGGACAGCGCCCTGCCAGAGGTCAAGCCAATACTGAAGGGAGGTTTCAGCGCCATTCACCAGCTACGCCAGTGTCCTAGAGCTGAAGGGCTTTAGATGCCAGCCCTAAATATTGAATACAGCCAGTTCTCTCCTCGTCACTATGGAGGGCGGGCATGGGGTCAGCAATGCTGCACCTGGTACTGTTCTCCCTGCAGAGGCTACTGGGAAGCTGCCTCCCTCTCTGCCACGTTCTGTATCCACCTTCCCCACCCCCAGGCCAGCAGAACGCTGCCGGACAGCTAGGCTTCCAGCAGGAGCTTGTGATGAAGCCTCTAGGCCCAGCTCACACTCACATTCAACGAGGAACAAGAAGCAGACAATTCCCATGACTGCAATGATGATCCCAGGCACGATGAAAGACAGGCCCCAGGTTGACGAAACCCACACTCCAGCGATCAGGGACCCCAGGATGTTTCCTACCGAGGTATGGGAATTCCAGATGCCCATGATCAGCCCTCTCCTGAGGAAGGATAAGAGAGAGAAACCATTAGTACAGCATTTCTGCAGTGCTTGCTAGTTATGACCATTTATTGGGATAGACTCTAGTGGATATGAGACGCTTCCCTGCAGGCCCTCAATGTCCTGCCATTTCCTCCACACCCCGGCCCTATACCGCAGCAGCTAAGAAAGGCTCAACAGGATTCCCAGCTCAGCTGATGTGGGCAAATGGGCGTGCAGGGACCAGGGCACATTCTCTCCTGTTCCAATCAGCAATGCCAATTTGGGGGGGGAAACAAAGGGGATTTGGCCAGTGGGCATGAACATGGCAGAGTCCAGTAAGAAGTACCCTGCACCAAAGACTGGGCCAACCTAACCCAAGAGGGAACGTGAGAACGCCGTTGCTGTATATCCTCCTCCCTAGGAGGAAGGGCCCACAAATTTGGGGACTGAACCTTGCTCATGTTTTTCCAAGGTAAGGGCATGCATTAGTGATGTGACTGTGTGCAGCTCCCACTATTGCTTGAAATGGACAATAATGGGCCAATAGTTCGTAACCAGCAATTTCACTCTGGGTAGCACCATTCCTATATACCGCGAGGGCCCAAAACATCAGAGCTTAGCAACAGAGATACAGTTAAAGCAGTAATCCAGGAAAAGCCAAAACTAGGGGACATGCACAAGCCAGAAGAGACGGTCACAGCTACGGACTTTCAGCTGTAAAATCAGAGAGGCAAAGATCCAGGAAGGCTGCTACAGGTGACAGTATCAGCCAAGGAGAAGCATGAACAATAGTTTGACTGAGAAGCAATGTAAGAGGCCGATGATCAGAGGAGAGCTGGGCAGCTTTGAGTCCATGGAGTTTTAAAAACAAGGAGGGATACCACAGAACTGGCTCCCACACGAATGAGTAAGCGTTTAAGGATGGGCTCCTGCTCCGTATGCGCAGAAGGGCATGTTGCATTCTGCAGAGGCTGGAAACGGGCATGCTAAGGAAGGGAGCTGCAGCAGTTAAGGGAGAGGAAATGAAGGCCTGGATGAGGACTGCAGCAGAGGGGCTCCTGGCAGCAGTAAACACAAGCAGGGGGGAGGGGTGGAATATGCCGATTTACAGCCACAGAAACAGGGAAGGAAGAAAATTCTCCAAATCCAAAGTTATGGCCA